TGATCCGTTTTTCATTTGTCGAGATAAGACTGTCTTTGGGTTTGTTTTGTTTAAAATTTTTGTAAACGTTTGATCTCTAGCAACCAAATATTTAAAACGAACGTTCTCTTTGAAAATAATTTATGGCGGATAGGTATTTGGCAGCTTTTCTAGCACAGAAACATCTTGCATTGATTATCTGAATAAAAGGGTGGATGGGCGTATTATCGAACCCGTTTGCATAAAACCTTGGGATCGAAAGTAACAGGACCTCATAATGTAAGTAGTTAAAGTTGCTACGTTAGACATGGCCCTAGTCTGTTGAACATGCATTATAAGGTTCTAGGTTAATTGCATATTGGTATTTTAAAAAATACTGAGCTATCCTTTGCTCGGACGCAAAGTTCGAATTTTGCCTGTGGTGGTTTGTTTTTAAAACAAAAGTCCGAAATAGTGGTTTTTAACTCTTTGTTATTTTGAATTGATTTCTTCTTCTCATTAAAGTCGGTAATATCATGTTGATTTATGAAAAATGAAAAGAACTTGTTTCAATACCAGACATGGTGCCTAGAATCAAAAAATAAAAATATAGACTAGGGCAGAGTATTAGTTTGAAAATATTGTTGTTTTTTTTTTCTCATGGGGCTGGTGGCGTTTTTTTTAAATGAGAGGTTATTAGGAGTATGGTTCATCTATTGTGTTGGGCTATTATGATTTGATTTTGGATTGTGTTAGTGACCGTTATTTAATTTATTTATTTTTGTTGCATGGGAAGTATGTTATCAAACTTTGACAAATGAAACTAAGGTGTTTTATTGGTATATCATCTGAGCTATACAATACAGTTACTATATAACTAATATTAACTGTACAATGTAAGAATATACATCTAATATTAACTGTACAATGTAAGAATATACATCTAATATTAACTGTACAATGTAAGAATATACATCTAATATTAAATGTACAATGTAAGAATATACATCTAATATTAACTGTACAATGTAAGAATATACATCAATTATTAACTGTACAATGTAAGAATATACATCTAATATTAACTGTACAAAGTAAGGATATACATCTGGAATAACGCAGCTTTCGAAATCACCAGAACCTTCTCAATGTTTCGGATTTAATATTCTGACTTGTGTTTGTTGCCAGGAAGATTGGTAAGAAACATATCAAATAATTTGTGACAAGCTTAGATACAACAGAATCATCGGAAAAGAATTTAAAATTGTTGAACCATTTGAGTGCCATTGTTTATTATTCTCAGGTCTAGATACATATTTTTGGTCTCTGACTGAGGTCATTATGGATGCGTTTTTATGCGAAATGAATATTATACAATATTACTATTGTCGTTACTCTGACTTAAATTGTGCAAAACATATACGTAAGTAAATAAGTACGATTTTAATAGTGATGGACACAGTTTGTTCATGTGGAAGTTTAATAATTTATAATAACCTCTATAACTTTATGTTGTACAAAGTGATACAAACTGTAAAGATTTTATTACAAGGAAGTTCGCGAAATCTTGTGTGTTCCGTACATAACACTGTCAATAATCGTTTATTCAATATTACAAAATGATGTCGAAACATCAAAGTTTTACACAGGGTTCAATTTACAACTAATAAGAAATAAATTGATTCACGCAGACAACATGCTTGTGAAATTCTATTATGTACGGTTTAGACATATTAACCAGTTCTATAAAGAAATGAAATATAAAGACAAAACGGTACAGTGTCACTCAAGAGATTTGTAGTTAAATAAGATGAAGGTACACAAAATTAAATACATGGTTTAAAAGGCTTAAACGAAACCAAATAACAAATTCCATCAGGCATCATTAGTGCTTATAAACTGAGAAATTAAATTATTTTTAATATAAAATTATTATACAGACTTTTCTTTCAAAGGAAAATCTTACCTTAAATAACATTATAGCAGTAGAAATCATACTAATATTCAAACACTGTAATGGCTGTTTCACATAGATCAAGTAATATCAAGCACAAATCAAATGTAAATTTTCCATCGATTATCACTGCTAAGAGAAAGATATTTTTTTTCAGGATTGAATGTGCTTTTGAATGTGAGACCTGTAAATGATTGAAAAGATAGTCCTAATATACAATTCCAGTCAGGCGTCTGATGTTGAATTATTAAGTGAAAACGATAAACTAAAGCAATCGAAAGGTCGTTACTCTCATTATTCGACAGAGTTAGAGTGTTCAGAAGACAAATATGTGACTGGGAAACAAGTCCTGGTTACGGCTGTGTTAAAAGTAATATAGTTATTATTGGTTATAAATTTTAGACAATTTAAATGTATGTATGTATGTATGTATGTATGTATGTATGTATGTATGTATGTATGTATGTATGTATGTGACAAATTGGCTGCGTGCAAACCACACCAACCTCTTTCACTACGGTTCGTTGCTAGGGGATGACCTCCGCGGTGTAGTTTACCCAGTGTGGATAGATAGAAAGAAGAATGCAGATCACTGAACAAGTATATTGAATAAAATAAACACGACGAGCACACTTTCAATGAACAAATATAAAATTTAATCAGTTTATCAATAGAATTTAAAATGAAAAGAAATCAATAACTTGGTTACAAAAGAAGGAAAATGGTACTAACATGTACTCAAATAAAAAGACAATACAAATTTATTTAAATGTAAAATTACTTTCCACGTTGATATACTATCTTCATTGCCAATGAGATGTGACCTTTGAGTGCAACGATGAGAGACTTCATCACCTATTTTATGCGGACATCAAGACTTCCGTTCGTCCCTGCTCTGCCGATCTTTGTCTAGCATTTTCGTCTTGGACTCTTGTCCGTCGAACTCTGACTTAACAATCGTCTCTGGACTTAGATTTCTGCGTAGAACTTGTTCTGGTCCAGTGATTGTTCAGGGATTTCTCATGTGAATCCAGGAAAGCCGTTTCCTTCAATAAATAAAATGTTTCCCAATAGACAATAGGACACGTCGAACTCTGACTTAACAATCGTCTCTGGACTTAGATTTCTGCGTAGAACTTGTTCTGGTCCAGTGATTGTTCAGGGATTTCTCATGTGAATCCAGGAAAGCTGTTTCCTTCAATAAATAAAATGTTTCGCAATAGACAATAGGACACATTCCCAGGTATATTTATATTTTTACAATAATTCGGCTCAGAAAACAAAAGGCATAAATTCTGCCGCATGAACGTTACCTAAGTCTCTGTTTACATAGTCAGTCAATGCTTGTCCTGACCTTAATTCGGGTCACGCTAGGGATGGTCAATTAAATTCAACTCAGCCGTATGAACCCGTATGTAACCCCCACTCGACTGCTGACTCTACCAATCTAACTGTGTTAAGTTACATATGGCTTAGACCCTCAGATCTAACTATTCTAAAATAGTTTACTCGACCAATTAAATATTACAAACTAGCATATAGATATACACTTAAGTGATCAATTAAATATTACAAACTAGTATATGGATATACATGTAATGTTAGGTCATACTCATTTTAGACAGAGTTAATCCATAAAACTATGAAATATTACCCATCATTCCTTAAATCATTCATGAAAATTCCTAATCACTCCTATGTATTAAAGATGCAATTACATGCAATCTTGTCAACTAATCTAATGAAAGTTTAATTACATTCAATCTTGCCACTTCTCCAAATGAATTGATAATTAGAAAATCAAAGAATAAAATGTCATGACTAGCATTTCACTAAAATCCTGCAAAATGAAATCATACATACATACATCATATCAAGAATACATTTGAAATAGATCAACAAATGAAATAACATATTAAAATCGGGAAACTAAGATTGCGTACCTTTTGCCGTTTCTTTATTCGTTTCCACGAACCTCACGTATAGTCCGTCTCCTAACTGAGACAACTATATGGCCCCTTTACTCTATTTTGAAACGTACTTTTTACGATTTCAGAATGTAGAGTTTGCCTACTCGCTGAGACAAAACTCCCGCTTTACTGACAAATCACGAGATAACGTCTTACACGCTCTTCCCGGAGTCTCGACCACTCTTTTTCCAAGTAAGATTGAAGACTAAAGAATTTTCCTAAAGTAAAACCTTTAATTTCTTACAGAGATACGCCCATAAATCCATATTAACCAAGCAGAATAAACTGTTTCCTAAACCTGTTCAGTATAATTTTTGGATTGACAAGACATCTAAACAACTAATCATGCCGTAATTAACATTACTTTGAACAATCATCTATAGCCAGCTCCCGCCCTTTAACCCGTCGATTTTGGGAAAGGGTCTTATGTCATTCTCTTGTACCATAGCATCTGACTCGGTCATGTTACGTCAGCTAGAACGAATTCCCTTTTGACGCTCAGAGATGAAATGAAAATAATCATCTAACTATCTCTAGCCCTTTCTACTTTAATTAAGTTGACTTTGATACACTTTCTTTAACCAAAGCTTCTAATAGTTTTCAAAATTCGACACATCACAATGTATGTATGTATGTCATAATCTCAAACTTAAGACACTTAACAAGTTTAGGAAAAATACACATGTGAAAGAATTTGCAACGAATTAATATTTAATAGTTACAAACAGGTGAAGAAAAATGCCAAGTTTACGAAAAATCTTATCTTTTCATTTTCTCAAATGTACGAAGGAAATTGTCTTGAAGAGTCTCAGCCCGCGTTTACAAATGCTGAAAGGTATATTTATTTTTTCGTATCTTTTCTTAAATACAAACAATTGATATAAAAGGTTAATACATTTTTTTTAATTCTAAATTTAAGAAGTACTTCATTCATTTAAGAACAGAGTTTGAAAATTTATAGTGATGTCTAGTAATGGGGCATCATGCAGCAGACAGACAGCGTCATATACCACCCAATCACATTATCCTGACTCCAGGCCGACAAGTCCTAATATTAACATTTGAATGCTGATAGCCCAGCAAGGCAGATGCTATCGCCATTTTTATAAGTCTTTGGTTTGACTCGGCCTGGGTTCGAACCCACGACCTCCCGCATCCGAGGCGAATACTCTTACCACTTAGGTCACCACTCGCAAGCAGAGCAGATAGACAAAATAATGGTAAAATGAGTGGGGAGGTGACAAATAGTTCAGTTTAGATAGAAACACAGTGCTCTTATATGTATTATTTGTTACCATGCTTTTGCTGTTGATCAAAGGTAAACGTGAGCTTTACAGTGGTTTAATTCCTATTGTCGAAATCAATATGGATGATTTAGATATTGCATTGCAAATGATAATCAAGTTAGTGTTGATGTTTCGTGCTTTGTCGGCAAGGTGGAAGAATATATCGATGAAACTAATCTACAACAACTTGTAATGGTTGGAGAGTCTAACATTGTAATTGATCCTGCATTGGATATAAAACGAGGAAGTGTGTATCAGGAAACCAAATACCATAGGACGTTTAATACAGTTATGATGAAGTAGGGTCCCCTTGCATCCCGAATAATGCGTATTACAGAATTGTGCTTACTTAATGTCAATAACAAACGAACGAAAATGTTCCTTGGTTTCGTTATCGTGTGAGAGTTACAGGCGAGTGGATTAATATAGTCTATTTCAAAATTAAGAGTTTGTTTTATCCAACGTTGCAGGAGCAAAATGCTTGTAGTGAGAAACCCGATTGTCTGAAGTTGTCTGGATTTAGATTTCAACAACAAGCAGAGTAAACTGTCACCATTTTGTTACAATACGAGTTTGTCAGGAAGTTGGCCACTTTTCGGAACGGCTTCTGATACAATGCAGAAAACCTTTAAGGCAAAATATCTCACAGTTGGCCCTACCCAAGTAAATCAGGTACTGATTGTATGTCAAAAAGACATACACTAATAACATTTATGGATGGCAGTCTGTAAGGCAAAATATCTAGACCCATCCAGCTAAGTATTGGTTGTTTGTCAAAAAAGACATATAACCTTTACTGACGGCTTCCTGAACAAAACAAAAATCCTGTAATGCCAAATATCTTATAGATATTTGTCTGACCAAATCAGGCGTTGATTTCGTGTTTAAAAAGATATAAACCAATAACCTTTACTGCAGATATATAGAATTGCATTTTTTCTTGCAATTCGTTTTATGTGATATAATGCATATTCTAAATTTTACAGATAGTCAGACCTATGTCACAAAACGTTATACTATCAGACAGACTACATTCTGTTTCAAGTTGGCCATATATGATAACTGGACCGACAAAAAAAATAAATCCATATGTTGATGATCAGTAATACTCCACTTTATGATTCAGTGAATTTATCCTTGTCGGACACGAGTTCGTGTGTGAACGTGGTGATTATAACAATAATCTCTATTCACATTTAAGCGTGTCTCGTGTTCAACACAAATAAGCACTTATAAGTTTTGAGGAGATTCGTGTAACCCGTATGCCGCTGTCGATAGAGACGTTGGCTTGGAGGACTATTAGTTTACTCGCAGTGAGGAACCAACATTTCGGGACTAGTGGATATGCAGGGAAAACGAGGCTTTTGAGAGACCCTTTTGTCAGACTTAGAGGGTCGTGCCATGCGAGGTGGCCCCTTGACCATTCAACGAGAGCTGTGGAACCGGAAATACGTCGTGATCGTCACCTGTACTCCGTGATATACTGATCCATGTTTTAACCAATATTCAATATGACTAAGTGAAATCAATAACCCAATATGACTTAAACCAATCAATATCACCATGAGTGAAATAAATAATTCAGTATCACTCAATAAGTGAAATTCAGTATTCATTATCACTATATGAGTGAAATCAATAATGCAACATCGCTATATAAGTGAAATTATATTTTAATATTGCCGTATAAGTGAAATCATATAATATCGCTATAAAAGTGAAATCTATATATGGACAATATTTTATTACAAGCACCATACGTTTATATTTGTTTTATTACCCCTTGAAATTATATTTCTTGATTAGTTCTAGTTAGGAACGACATGGTTTCATTATATAAGTTTTTTAATTCGGTGCGTATAATTCTGTTAGATCCTTTGTTGGACTTATGCATACGAGTATGGTGCCAGATACGTTCCTCGTTCAATTGTATTAGAAAAAAACATATTTCACGAAATTGCTTTTAGAGTTCTCGATAAATCTTATACGAACCCGGCTTCATCTTGTCACGTGACATGCTAACACCTCTTCAGCCATATTTTTCAGGAAGTATGATAACTGGTATTCTAAGAGTGGAATTATACCCTATATTTATTTAAACCAATTTGCAGACAAATGTGATTTCAACTTTCCACGATAGGTCAAACGTCTCTAATAGAGAAGGAAATCAATGCCTTTGCTGATATTAATGTGAAATAAGAATTGCTAAAACATACTTCGCGATATGAAGCCGGAAACGTTGCTTTACATGAAAATAGGTCTAGAATAGATTGCGAAAAAAGGGCTATGGAAAAACGATTTTTCAAGGCAGAGTAAAACAATGATCCAAATGATGCTGAAACGTTGGATAAGATTACTGGATGAAAACATTGGGGGACATAATATTAAGATCGAAGTATGATGGAAAAAAAGCGGAAAAATGTAGTAAAAATTCTTTGTCAACCTACATGAAGAAAATTTCTAACAAAGTAATCGGACATTATAAATCAATGGAGAGCAAATATTTGATGCAAATAATTTTTGAAAAAGGTACAAGACTGCCAAAATTTGTAGAAGTTGTAGAAGAAGAGATAAATGTCTCGATTTAATGATTTCTTAATTAGTTTTGAAATAAGAAGTTCGGCTAACAGAAGAAGACAAATGGGCTTGGCTTTTGTTGGTTTAATGTTGCTTGAATAATTTACAGCTGTACAAATGAGTATCAAAACAAACAACAAGTATAAGAACGTATCACATTCGATAACTAAAAAAAAAATATTTTATTGAAAAAAATCACTTTATCACAGGAAGGTAGACTTTATTTGTTTGCAATTTCTTGGAATAATTTCTGATATTTCAAGGAGATGAAGACTTTGGTGATGTTTATACTAGTACGATAATAGTTTGCCAGCAAAAATTCCGAGCCGAGAGTGAATTCTTTTCTTCACATTCATCCATGAAAGTCATGTCTTTTAATAAGTAAACAAATATGTAGGTTAAAATATTAGACTTTTGTTAGATATTATTGAACATACAGAAAACTACGAATTCCCAGGTCTTCGTTTATTTGACTTAGCTTTTTTCTTTTTATTTTGAAACGATGAATTGTCTTAAATTTGGTTTAAATCAAAATTCATTGGATCTGTCTTCTTTTCTACTTATGCCAAAAGCAGTGTATTACATAAACGTTCTTTATCAGAACATGTGAGTCATATATTTTGCACAGAACCTGTACAAAACGTTTCCGCTACCTGGCTTAAACCTGCTAGCCAATAAAATATGTATTTAAGCAGCATAACTTGCTTTGTCTGATTGGTTGTTTAGTTAGTGTGGTAAGTTTTATTAGAACAAAATTTGAAAGTTCTCCTTGAACGGCTTTTGGTTGCTTCGTATAGGTCTAGCGGAAAAGTATTTTGATATTGGTGGCGGATGTTCTACAGTCTCATAAACATCCGAAGTGGGATGAAGATACAAGCGAGGTGAAAAACGATATACGCGATTTATTAATTCTGTATAACTTTCAATTATTTTAAGAACTAAATACTTCATAGAGCGCTCTGAGATGATTTGGTATGAAAGTATTATAAACGTAAAAAGACTGTGATAAGATTGAAAAGATTTCCTTTCGAGATTTATTTGTTACTGGTGCTATTTTTTATATTTCGGTACAACGAATATCATTTGGATAAAGTCTACTGTTTCTGTGGTGCCATTAGAAGTAGCTGATCATAGAACAATCGGCTTTCCTTCTGTCACATTATTTCCATTAAATAAAGTACCAAGCTCCCAGTGGAAATAATCAGATAAGAGTGAAAGGAAAATATTTACTATCCTACCACTTCAATTCCTTCTAGAAGATCGCAGTTACTGGTATCATTGGTTCCCTGCCAACCCGCTGACCACTGATTGACCGCGATCCTTGCCAGCATCATCTTATTAGGAAGGGTCAATTTCAAGCCAGCTATCTTTAATAAGTTTACATGGTCTATGCTATAAAGAATGCTGTCAGAGCCTTGTCCTAATTCAATGAAGCTTTTCTATAACACTTCTTCTACTGGTTAATTTAGGGAAAATTACTCCATTTTCCTTTATGGGATGAGGTTTGTGTCCCGAAGTAATTAACTCAGTGTGGACGTCCGTGTTCTATCAAAAAAATTGCCAGTCATAATAGTGGAGATAAAACGGGAATCATGCTTGTAATATGCATTAAGCCTAATAACGTTCTGTTTGCTGTCCATCATAGACAAAGAAAAAGAAGAAGAAGAGACAATGCGTCAGAGAGTAAAGGAAACTTGGCAATCATTTTCGGTGTTGCATTTAAGAATCTATTTTTTTGTGATTTTAAAAATGAAAGTATTAATAACCATTCTTTTAAGTATTAATAAACTTATGTAAATGACATGGATATAACATGGAATCCGAACATGCCTGCTCATTGTTATTGCCGTTTTTAGAATAATTAATTATTCTTTGTTTTTCCTCATCATTCTAGTCGGTTGTTTATTTTCCTCATAAAATAAAGATAAAATGGCATAGATTTAAAACTGGAATTGTTTCCATGTTGCAGACAGATCAAGGGACTTGTCCAGGCTTATGTTTACATTCATTGGCGTCAACAAGAAAACTTTCAAGCTCGTTGCACTATTTAGGTCAAGAAAGAATAATACACTAAAATTCCTTATCTCTTTTAGACTTGAATTTAGTCTCTTTTCTCTCCTTTTATCACATCGATATGAGATGTTACACAGTTCTGAATATGAACGTGAGTTATTGGTTTTAACAAAGGTAGTAGTAGTTGGTTTAAATCAAAATTCATTGGATCTGTCTTTTTGTCTACTTAAAAAGCAGTGTATCACATAAACAAAGATAGTGGTTGTCTTTTTATAATGAAAATGAGAGAAAATAAGATTTTGTTTTATGTAACGTAT